AAATCCGTTGAAAGGCTGGGGGTTAGCCAAAAACCCCAAAGTCAACGCCTAACACGCATCGCCGGGTAGCCTATTCCCGTAACAATAGCGAAGCCTATGTATTCAACATCATAGCATAAAGTCTTAGAGAATTCACTCTCTTAGCACAACGTTACATGCGGAACGGATTTAGACAATCCGCATGCTAGCCCGACTCAAACGGTAATCGGTAAAGGCTAATCAAATCCGTTGAAAGGCTGGGGGTTAGCCAAAAACCCCAAAGTCAACGCCTAACACGCGTCGCCGGGTAGTCTATTCCCGTGAGAAAGACGAAGTCTACGTATTCAATATCATAGCACTAAAAGGGTTACATAATCCGCATGCTAGCCCGACTCAAACGGTGGTCGGTAAAGGCTCATCAAACCCGTTGATGGCTGAGGGTTTGCCAAAAATCCTATAAATACGAGAGTCACTGACGCATCAGCTTCATTAGTTGGTCTCGTGACCTGAGCATCTAACGACATTCAAAACCCTAGGGTTAACGCCGGTCAACGCGTAACCCTAGGTCAACGCCATTCAATGCGTTGCGAGCAAAAATTCAACGTACGACGTTCAAAACCCTAGGGTTAACGCCGATCAACGCGTAACCCTAGGTCAACGCCAGTCAACGCGTTGCGAGCAAAAATTCAACGTTCGACATTCGAAACCCTAGGGTTAACGCCGGACAATGCGTAACCCTAGGTCAACGCCTATCAATGCGTTGCAATGAAAGAATCAAACACTCCGAAGAGTATATGAGTATAAACTGCTTCTCAATCCTCCAACAGGTGCATGAGGTTAAACTGCTTCTTAAATACTCCAATAAGGTATATGAGTATAAATTATTCCCTAATTTTTTGAGAAGTTCCTGGATAATGTTTTCTATAAATATTCTTAAGGATAACTCAGCAATACGACGCCGGACAACGCGTTGCAGATAAAGACTCGACGCCAACAATCGATGGTCAGCTAAATCAGGAACCGACTTCAAAGTTCAAAATTCCGACAACGGTCAGACAATAAATGCAGCACCGAAAACCTTACAGACATTCGACAAAGCACCGAATAGCCTGAAGGATTGAAGGAATCAAGAACAGAAGCCATTCCAAGGTCCCGTTACACCGACTGAAGGTTGGGACAATCATATCCAAAGTATTCCAGACTCTTCTATAAAAGAACGAGACTGAAATACTTTGGAGGGGGTATCTGTAGGCATATAAAATTGCTTATAGGTCCCTTAGCACAGCTCAACACAAACTGACGAACCAACGAGGCGACGAGGTTAACGAATCGCACGCAAACAACGGAATAAATCCATTCACGTGCGGAATCAAGCCAATCGGGCAGTGTGAAGAGTCAACGAGTCATCCAACCAAGGGCAGACTCGTACGAATCACGATCGAATCAGATCAGTTTCGGACCGAACTCAGAAGCTGGGATCTTAATCCTTTGTGCTGTTTCACTTCCCTGCTTCATGCTGCCTCTTTCTCTTTGCCATACGGACGTTCGTAAAGAGCAGAATCTTACACCATTTCTACTATCTTGAGCAGTGTGTGATCTTGTCTAGATCCAATTTGTGGGTGGAGTGTGATCTAGTGAGATCAAACTTGTGTAGTCGTGAGATCGTGAGGGCGATCGCTGTGTAGACGAAGTTTTGGCCCTTCCAAACGGCGGTTGTTAGCTGGCATTTCTCGACCTACAGACGTGGGGAGCGGGGACGTAGTGTTCGCGGACCGCAAACCTCTGTTAAACACATCACGCCCATCACAGCGATTAACGATTCCTAACCTTATCTCCTCTATTTTGATTGCATTAGATACTGTGTCGTTTGCCTTGTCTTAACTTTTATTGCCTATAAATATAGCTAAATCTGACCCTAATCACCCCCCTGCCCCCCCTTATAGGCGTCCAACAATTGGTATCAGAGCTTGGTCTCTATATTAGTTTTTGGTTTAATCACCTTAGAGAAAAGATCTTATGGAGGCTTCAATGAATGTGCATATGTTAGAAGGACAATTCACCACTAGACCACCTCTCTTCACCGGTAGTAATTTTGCTTATTGGAAGGCTAGGATGAGAATTTATCTTTGTTGCATTGATCTTGACATCCTAGAGCTCATAGAGAAGAAGTATGTAGAGAAGTCCAAAGTCGGGAACATGACCGATGGAGAAAGGCACCAAGCCAATCTCAATGCTAATGCTATGAATGCCTTAATTTGTGGTCTTTCCCCCAACGAGTATAATAGGGTTTCCACGTGTGCAACCGCATACGAAATATGGATGAAATTGTGTACACTACAACAAAATACAATATTGCCGACGAAACAAAAGCGTCGGCAAAAGTTTAAAAAACGTCGGGAAAAATCTTTCCTGACGCAAAATGCAGCGTCGCTAGCGCGTCGCCAAAAGTGCGTCAAGGAAAGTATTTGGCGACGCCAATATACTGCGTCGCCAAAAGTACACTTTTGGCGACACGTCATGCGTCGGGAAAAGTATATCTTTTAGCGACGCATAATATTTTACGTCGGCAAAAGTGTACTTTTGGCGACGCATGCAGTGTCGGCAAAAGCTATGCGTCGGCAAAAGTATAGCTTTTAGCGATGCAAAATTGTTCGTCGCTAAAACTATACTTTTGGCAACGCAAGTTAGCGTCGGCAAAAGTGCAGCTTTTAGCGACGCAGAGTGAAACGTCGCTAAAAGCTATACTTTTGACGACGCAAGATAGCATCGCTAAAAGCTATACTTTTGCCGACGCAAGGTAGCGTCGGCAAAAGTATAATTTTTGGCAACGCATAATTATGCATCGGTAAAAAGTATAATTTTATTGACACTAATTTGCATCGACAAAAGTAATATCTTTTCTGTCAACTACAAGCCTACACTGAACTTGAACATCCACAAAAAATTTGCTCACATTCACATCAACAAAGAAACCAAACATCAAATTATACTCCAAACAAGTTGCATATTATGATAAACAAGGAATTTGCTCCAATTGCAAAATAATTACATTCATTTCCATTTCCAAGTCAACACTCAAAGGCCTGTTTAAATATTCTAGTTTGTCATATTCAGTGTTTTCCATTTCAGAGAATGACACATTATAAGATTTACAGTAAACTAAACTATGTTGAAAAAAAAAGAAAACTTGAAGTGAAAGAACGGCACGATCAGTGAACCTCTTCACAGATGAAGGTATATTCTCTGGTAGAGTTTTTGCGACTCTGTCTAACTCCTGCATTTGTTGCTTTGCAGTCACTCTATCAGGGCCACAATACATATCCATAAGCTCTTTCATGTGTGGTAGCCTTTCCATCAGTTCTTTGATTATTTCCTGTTAGAGAAAATGCAACGTCATATTATCAGCTACATATATATAGCTCAAACAAATACTATTCGTACAATTTTCAGAATTCATCGTATTTTCCCTCCAACTATTTTGTTACATTTCCTTCTGCAGTGAAAATATATAGCTCAAACAAATACTATTCGTACATATATATATTTCCAGCAGTATGTATATTTCCCAATTATTATTATTATTATTATTATTTTGGGGAAGGTGGTAAGACGTTTAGCTGCTTTTTTTATACACTAATGTGAAGTAGCAACCTGCCATCTCTAGTTAGTATATGTCCCTAGTTAAAGAGGTTTGCTGCAGCATCAAAGAGGGTTATAAATGATACCTAATAACCTATCTGATCATTTGGATAATTATCAGTTCAGATTTCTTTTTAAGTCCATCTAGTTCCATAAATTATGAAGGAAAAGCACATTCATACTGACAGTAAATGTTACTCTGCTCAGACTTGGATATGATTGACTAATAAAACAGCACATATGAGCATCCGCCTTACCTGGATGCCATGTCAGATTCTTTAGCATTTGAATGTTGATCCTATAATGGCGGCGGCCGCGACAACACTAACAACAAAGCAGTTATCCAAAAACTTATGGGTTTCTGCTCTAATCCTTTTCACCATTTATCTTTATTTAGGCTCTGGCGGCTAGCCTTCTAGTGTTCAGATAACCAGATCACACTAGCAGCCTCACTCTGCAATAGTCATTTCACAAAACTTGATTACTGTTTTGTGGTTTATCCTAATTTACACAAATGACAATGATATTCGAGAGTATGAGATGGTGTGACAAGCTTGGAGGGGCTACCACATTGCAGGCAATCTTCACATTAGTGTATAAAAAAAAGCAGCTAAACCTCTTATGCGAGTGAACTCCAGAATTGGAAAGAGTAGAAAGAGTATGACTTACAAAAAACAATTGGGAATAGTTTTAATTGTTCATGTGCTCTCTGTGGAGAGGAAAACATCCCGGAGCTGAGGGCAAACACTAAAAGTGGCTCTGGGGGCGTCAATTGAGTATATTCTGTGCTCCTCTGATATTTTAAAGGTATGAATAGCCAAAGCCAAAGCCTGAAGGTAATTTTACGGTTTATCTTATGAGCATCGAATATCGAAACATTAGAACCCGGAAATATGAAGGAAAATATACATACTATTTGTGGACGATGGGGTGGAGGTTTCATCTTTAGAATGACAAATTCAATGTCGGCTGGACTGAATGATTGACCTCTTATAGTATAAGATACCTGCATCAGTCACATAATATTGTCACTAAATTTCAGTTCTTACTTGAATTCTGATTTACCCTAGGAAATAGAGAAGAGAAGTCATCAATATGAACCTTTTGCATTAGAGCAAAGAACTTGATGCCATTTCTTGGAACTCCATATGCTAGGTAGGCCTGATAGATTTTAAAACAGCATGAGTTTAGAAGCAATTAAGGTATAAAGATATAAACAAATCTCAATTCTTACAGAATTTTTTTTTAAAGTTACATCTCATGGTAAAAAATGAATCCGTGTTATACTTACATGCATTATCAATGAATTATACAAATTGATCCAAAATGCCAGCTTCTGGTCATTGTTCATAGTGGATGGATCCACTTTTGCCAGTTCCCCCAAAAGGAATCTGCAGGAAAATAAGAAGAAAATGAGGATATAGTAAAGTAAAGAAAATCTAATGAAGTACATAGCGTCTCGTTGTCGGAGATAACATTGATGTTGCAGTAAATGGAGATAAGACAGCGTGGACTATCATCATCATATCCTTAATTTCATATCAATTGGTTACTATTGAAGCATGTCATATGTTTTGAAAGCTCCCAAAAATTATCACAACGAATTAACAAGAGAATCACAGTAAGTAAGAATCTAATACAAAATGTATAAGTCACAAAGCTAAGTACATAGACCATACAATATCATGGGTCAATTTATTTAGTCAACGTGGGACTCAATGCAGAGATCGTACAATCTTAACTACAACATTGCTCATTGAAAAATAACCAACGTGAATCTTTTCAGAGTGTCCGCAGCATACTCAATTTGTTCCTTCCCAACAGAAATAGTCAATTTGTCCGCAGCATACTCAATTTTCAGAGTGTCCGCAGCATACTCAATGCAGGGTAAAATAAATTAATTAGACATGTTTTTTACCCTCTCAGAAGTAGTCAAACGTATCATGAAACTCGACTCTACATTGGTCCAAATCAATCTATGCTTGAATATGTTGACATGCATTTCAAGTGTTTGGAAGGATTACTAGACAATCTGAAATAGGACTATCAAAAACATGTAAGGAGTTATGTCAGACCATCATATTTAAAAAAAAACTACTTACAGATGCACATGTGAATGAAAATTCCCAACCAATCGCTACAAATTTTGATAAACATAAAGAACATTTTTAGAAAGGTGCAGACATATGGAGCCATAAAGACATGGAAAATAGTACCGAATAGAACTAGATAAAACTAGATAAAACATTAACCGTCCAGTTAAGTGCAAGTAAAATGTGTTTAAAATTGTTCATACCATTCGTCGGAATTAATTCTTTTAATTCACTGTTTTCAGAAGGACACCTTTCTGAATCTCCACTTTCAAACTCAGTAGCCATTTTTGAAGTAGCATCGTCCTCAGCAATGAAGGAGGTTGTGACGCTAACAAGTGGAAATATTGCAATCCTTGATACTTGGTTGAATACTGCAATAGACACACCAACAGCTGCAAGCTCAACTGGGCCTGCAATTGATGAACAAAGATCATCAATCTATTCGTTGGCTAAAGAAAATGCAGGGTACGGATTGTTGAATATATTTTAAAACCAATTTCTATATTTTATCAATTTCTTGTATGGTGTTTTTCAAGGAGTACAGCAAATCAACATAATTCAGAATTTAAACCTAATAATTCAGAATTTAAACCTAATAATTGAAAAAACTCAGAACTGGGGTTTCGATCAAAGAGTACCTTATCACCGGCGAAATTAGGGGTTGCTGACGGCGTAAGGGGACCTGGACGGCGGGGTGGTGGCGAAGAGGAGAGAGGCGGAGGGTTGAGGCTGAGGTGGCAGCGGCGGAGAGGAGGGAGGAGGAGCGGCGGTGGGTGGTGATGAGGCTGGAGGTGGCGACGGCGGCGTGGGGAGGCGGCGCTGGGGGTTCGGGCGGCACGGATCTGGGAAGGAGGAGGGGTCCGTCGCTGAGGTGGGAGGGCGGCGGCGAATGGAAGAGGGAGAAGCGGAGAGAGGATTTGAGAGAGATGGGGTTTTGAGATAGGGATTTGAGCGGCGAACCAAATAAATTGCGGGAAATGGAAAAATTTTGGACCTTTGCCGATGCTAACTCGCGTCGCCAGTATAATTTTTAGCGATTTACAGTTTTACGTCGCTAAAAACTATACTTTTACCGACGCTACAATTTTACGTCGCTAAAAGCTATATTTTTACCGACGAAAATAAAAAAACGTCGGGAAATCCATACATTTTTACCGACGCTAAGTTAAAACGTCGCTAATAATATACACTTTTAGCGACGCTAATTATAAACGTCGGGAAAAATATATATTTTGCCGACGCTAACTAAAATCGTCGGGAAAAACATAATTTTTGGCGACATATTTGTAGGCGTATAAAATTGCTTATAGATCCCTTAGCACAGCTCGGCACAAACCGACGAACCAATGAGGCG